AAGAGTGTTCTTTTGAAATTTGGTCCAGTCTAAACAGGTCACATTTCGGAAAAGCCTCTTTCGACAAAAAGATACGCAAAAATGCACTCTGCATTTTGCATATCTTTTTCCGATAGATCCTCGCAGTCTAGCTATACCCCCTCTCTTCTATTTAATCACTGCTGCAGACTCAGAGATTCCTGCAGCAATAGACTTCAATAATCACTTTCGCCAGATTCACCGGGAGCATCTGGAAGCTGTTAAGAAAAAACTTAAGTGTCGCACCAACATTAATTGCAATTTGCACCAACTCTAAGAGTGAGGGACTCAATCTGGCTGTCTGCTAAACATCTCAAATCCTCCCACCCATCTGTCAAAATAGGCCATCAATAAATGGGTTCATTTGAAATTATTGAAAAGTTAACTCCTTAACATTTTGACTTCACCTACCCAAATATTGAAAGTCCAGCCAGTTTTCATATGTCCCTCCTGAAGCCCTACACAGAAAATCGCTTCCCTGACCACTCCACCAACATCATGCTTCTCGCAAGTTCAGGGTCAGGCAGAATATAAAGTCAGAGAAATCCTGGATTCTAAGTAAATCTGAGATCTGCTGTACTCGCTCATGAACTAAGAGGATTATGCTAGAAGAAGAGGATTATGGCCTAGAACAAAGGGGAATTTCCATGCTCTGGAGCACATACTCACCTTTTACCAGAAAAAATGGGTCAAGGATCTGGTCCATGATCTGAAATCCCCCCTATCCCTCTAAATGTTAATATTTTGGATAATATGGATCTTGGATCCTAACAACTGCTGGCCTAAGGTTTGCAAAATCAAAACCTAAGCAACACCTTTTCACAAATTCACACCCAGCCTCCTCGGCCCATCACTGTTATCTGTGCTGTAATTTGGGGGCCATATGTATTTTTAATACATTAGGCAAAATAAAATATCTCTTTCCCATTCGTGTATCTGGCCCCATGTGAGAATTTACAGCAAGATGCTTGGGTCACAGTGGCCACTCAAACCTGATCCCAATTGTGTCAGAAATGGCGTAAGTTATCTTCTCATAAGGTCTAAGATGTCTAACATTCAGGCA